CCCCCCCTGCCCAGATACCCTCTACCCACGCAGCTGGGTCTTGTGCTCCCGGCGGCGGAGACAGGGGCGGCAGGCATGAGCCGGACCCAGTGCAGAGACTCGGGTTTGTTTTAATCTGATTACTATCCGTTTGCGACTACTGTCGCTCCTTAAACTTGATCCGTGTTGTTTAGATTAGCGCAGAGCCGATGCATCACCGCTTCAATCACCACATAAAGGAGTCTTTTGCTTTACTGTGCACATTTACGTTACTGTATACTGTAGTACATTACACCACAGCCCAGGGGTGAGCTTGATTATATGCCAGTTTATTCGCGAATGTGGAGACCCTACAGTACATTTTGCGCCGCTCTGTGGGGGACTAAATAAACACGACCCTCCATCTCCAGACGGCCGCAGCTCATTCACGCCCCATGCGTCCGCCCTGCTCTCGGTGCCTTCAGCTGCGCGATACCAACCAGATTATCTCGGCGAGCTCACACCCGACACTTCATCGATGTCTCAGTCAAAGAGTCCACACGCAGGCTTTGGACAAGGCAGGGCTATGGACGAAAACGTCCATAACGCTGCCTTCGCATGTGGATACTTCGCGCGCTACGCAGGTTTTTATTTTGAAAAACGAAACCCCACTTCCTCGTAAACATGCCATAGAAACTACAAACACAACAAACACTTTCAACAGGGGGAGGGAAAGAAGTCACAGTGTCACCTGGTGGCCGGTAGGAGGTACCATATTTTGGAATCGGGAGAAAGTAATCTTCGAGTTACAGTAATAATGAATAATAATTGCTTACACTTTTCTGGACACTCCAGCAGCATCCACCTGTTCTCTCCCCTCACCTGTTTACTTAGTACTTTTAAATATTGTGTCATGCCTGGTAGTCTTAATGTAAATATATTTAAACACAACCACATAAAGAATTATAAGCATGTGATGAAGAAAACAGATTTATATCTGGACGCTGAATCCATTCGGTACTTCATAATGCTATGAGCTGCTTTTTTTTGCGCTGATACTCACAAAAAAAAAACACACGCGCGAAAACGTATTTATTCATACAAACAGCTGGATCTTTTAACTTGTCAGTCTGAACAGACAGATAACAACGCGAAGCAATACATTAATGTTACGAAAGAATGTCCCAAGTTTGGGATAATAAAGATCTCCTAACGTGCAGCCCACACACGTCAAGACAGTACACGTCAAGTGTCGAGCAGGCAGCGGTAACAGTTTCTGGTCAGAGACATGGGTGTAATGATAAACAGGACCACTGTGAGGTGCTAAAAACGACAGGTGTTCTCCACGGTACTAGTGGTCTGACAGGAGCACAAATTCTCTCTCTAGAGATAAAAATCACATTTTCCCCTTTGCATTAAAACCCCACTAAAATTCCAAACCAACAATTTTGTCATGTTACACCGATTCGCTTGCTACGTTTGCACACGTAAACTTTCACGCTTTGAAAAATCCAGTAACTTTTTCTTTTTTCTCTGCAGCAGGACATTTTTTTTTAAAAGTCCATTGGTTTAGGAGAAAAAGTCACCTGTAAAAAGAAATGTGAAAATGTGAAAACAATGTAAAAACTAAACAGTATCAAAAAAGTGTAAACACACACATAATATGTGCAACATAATAATATTTTATTGTAAGAAATCCAAACACACCTCTGGCAAAATGAATAACTGCAATGCTCTTATCTTTATAGGTTGTATTGTTATTGTAAGGAACGTTATTTGATCTTTTCAGAGTGCTCCTATGACCAAAAGTGTACTGTCCCATCAGAACCTCCTGAGAAAAGATATTCCCCTCTGTGGCTGAACACAACACTTTGCACGGCGTCTTCGTGTCCCACTAAACTGGTCACTTGGGAAGAAGCCAGGTCCAGGAGCTTGACCGACCCGTCGTTGCTGGCGACCGCCACCGTGCGGCCCGAGGGGCTGAAGGCCGTCTGATTCCCCGGGTGGGGGCCGGCGTCGATGCTCAGCATCGCCGCCACCTTCCTCACGTCCCACAGCTTCACCACCCCGTAGGAATCGCAGGACACGACCGTGTCCCCCGTCAGATTGAAGGCGGCGTGGTTGCACGAGTGCAGGTGGCCGTAGAACGTCTGGGCGCACAGGCCGGTCCTGGCGTCCCAGAGGGAGAGGGTCTTGTCCGCGGAGCTGGTGAGCAGCGTGTTGGAAAACGGGAGGAAGACGACGCTGTTGACGGAGTCGACGTGGCCGCGCAGGGTGCAGCGGCACCTCTCGCTGCGCAGGTCCCAGACCTTGCTGGTGTTGTCCAGGGAGCAGGACGCGACGAAGTCCCCGCAGGTGTGGAAAGAGCAGCCCCAGGCGGCGCGGGCGTGCCCCTCGAGGGTCAGCACGCACTCGCCCCTGGAGAAGTCCCAGACCTTCACGGCCGTGTCCCCGCTGGTGGTCGCCAGCTGGCCGCCGTCCGGGTGGAAGCAGCAGCCGGACAGCCAGTCGGCGTGCCCTTCGCCGGTCATGATGATCTCCCTGTTGGGGATCCCCCACATCTTCCAGAGCCGGTCGTCGCTGGCCGTCACCAGGATCTGCTTGCGGGGGTGCAGTGCCAGGCAGCTCACGGGCAGCTCATGGGCCTTCAAGGAGCTCGTCAGCCGGAACCCTGACGCTTTAGCGGCCTGAGCTGCTTGCCCTTTGACCTGGGAAAGGTAAGGGTTAACGCGGGAATCCACAGGGAACTCAGAATCCTTGGGGTGTTTGCTGACTTTGGGGTGTTTGGTGGGATCTTTGGCAGAGTCATACGGCGC